TACATTTAAGATATTCCCATGGTAATTATAGATGTGTTCACAATTTGAACTACATGTTTTAAAGATATTTTGTCTTGAATTTTAAGATAACATAAAATCTAGTAATTAAAACCTTTCAATCGAACCTGACAGGTTTTGTAACATACCACCATTACTGAAAGCAGCTCTTTTGAACATTTAAGAAGTCGTATAAATTCATCAATTCCATTACAAAGAAACCAACCAGTTCTTGTTCCTCTGCAATGGGTTCTTTTCAACGGCACCTTTTGGTCTTCACGGCAATGTCATTCGCCATGGCCATCACCCCTGCTTTCTCGGTTCTGGGATGGGAAGAGAGATACTTGCCGGACCCGAGTGTGTGTTGGGCTGAAATCAACAAGGCCGATGGCTGCGTGCTTCATCTTTACGCGTCTCTGTTTAAAAGCAAGACGAATATGGGGTTCGACTGCTGCGAGGCGATTCGGGGCCTGGATTACAAGTGCAGGAATTGGCTGTTTAATCATGGAAGATTCACACCTGAGTTCGGTAACCGAGTTAAAAGGTTTTGTGCTACTCTGGGCGTCACGCTTCCGCCGAGTTACCGGATTTATTACCCTCAAACCCCCGGTCATGGTGGCTTGGGGCATTGAGTGATTGTTATAAAGAGTTGAAAAGAAAAAAACGTGAACTTTATCTGTTTGAACAGACAAGAAGAGTTCGTTTGTAGGAGGAATGAAATGGTATTTAACTTCAAACAGATAAAATGGTAATCTGAATAACAAATTTAACTCTCGATTCTATCATTTGGCGTCGTAAAACAACCATTAATCAAACATCCACCATGTAAAAACATTGAATACGAAGCAATTTAGAGCCGTCGTTCCTTCCATTTCCAGTTTCAATCATCAGATCAAAGAGCTGACTGCTGAAACATTGAATATGAAGCAATCGATGCTGAAAGAGTTTATATTACGAAACCGGATGGACAAATCCCAAGAAATCTGCATCAAATGCTTCATACTCGATGTTACTCAACTCAACTCTTTGATCTGATAATTGAAACCGGAAATGAAAGGAACGACAACTCTAACTTGCCAATCAAATTATTTCTCAAAGGATTTTGTGTAAAAGGTGGAGAATCTATTTTTCGAGATTAGAATTTCAAAATTCCTATCAAACTGAAGTTTGTAAAAGTTTATAATCAAAATTCCATTTTGACACGATGATTGTATTAGTTCTTTTTACTCAAAGTAAGAATTCATATCGAAGATAGGGATGGCAAAAAAACCGAATCCGACGGGAAAAATCGAAAACCGAATTAAACGGGGACGGGGAAAAACCGTTTATACTAAACGGGGACGGGGACGGGGAAACGTTTATGTTAAACGGGGACAGGGACGGGTTTAGTAATCCCCGCCCCGATTACCCGATTACTCGGCCCGATAAATATTAAAAATAATTATTATATATATATAATAAATTTAAATTTAATTAAAAAATATAATAATCTATATATATATATATATATTTAATTTAAATATATATACCCGGCCCGATACCCGTTTAAATAACTATTTATGCTAAACGGGGATACTCGTTTCCCTCCGGTTTTCCCCGATTACCCGATGGGGATCCCCGTTTAAATCCCCGCGGTTTTTTAAGCAGGGATGGGTACAAGTTTTTTAAATGGGGACAGGAACGAGGGGATCAATACCCGGCCCGTTGCCATCCCTAATCGAAGAAGACTCTTCGTAATCTATGATATAGACGTATAAAATAGATACAAGTGTTATACGTATAAATAGATACAAGTGTTATACGTATAAATAGATACAAGTGTTATGATTATCTGAAACGGTTAACGGAAAAAAATACGATAAAAAATACAAAAAGCATCAATATTAATATGAAAAACTCTAAAAAAAAATCACGAGTAGAGAATAAGAAAATTTCACTATGCTAAAAATTTACAAGATCTATTACAACTGTTACACAACTCACAAAACCCTATTCGTTACTTTCTATTTACAAAGATAGGAAACACAGGAACTCTAACTGAATTTTCTTTCTTAATCAGCATAAAAAGGGCAGAAAACGATCTTATATCTATTTTAGACTCACTTTTATTTTTTATTAATTACTTTGGATTTTTTTATTATTTAGATTCTTCTCCACCCATACATTAAATGATAATATTTATTTAAGTATGTTCGATCTTAAGGTTGTCTCAAATATTTTTGGGAATTTGTGCGAAAACTAAAAAAAATATTTATATATTCCGTTACTTTGAACAATAAATTTAATATTAGATTAATAAATTATGGAAAAATTATTGAATTTTGTCAAGCATGTTATTTTTATTATTTTGTTAAGAAACCACCTTAAATACAACTAAGAGAGAATAAGTTAAAAAGAAAAAAAAAAGGAAAAAAACTAGAAGTTGGTATGATACAAAGCTTGATTTTGAACAATAAAAAATAAAGAATGGTGTATTATTTTATTATTAGTTTGAAATTAGAGAAGACTAAAAGTTAAAAAAAATATTTGATAAATTAAAGAATGAGAAGGAGAGAAAAATACAATTAGATTTAAGTCAAAATTGAATGAATTAATATGAGAGAAGAAAAAAGACTGTCTACTTTTTTTTAAACAGAGTTCCGATTATAATTATAAAAATTTAGGCACCATAAATATAAAAATTGGGGACATGAGCAATAACTCAAGGTTCTCTCCCTAATAGTCGGCCTTGTTCGAACTCATATTTTCATGCATATTACAATAATAATGATGTTAACCAAATTAAAACTCAATATGACTACTTTAAACTTTTTAGTACTTAATTTGGGTAAAACTATTTTGTATTTTTTGGCACAATATCAAAAAATTGGCCCTTAACATTTTTAAAATGGTCGTTTTGGCTTTAATTCTTTTTTTGGGAGCATTTTAGCCCATAATGTTTCATTTTGAGGTAAATATATCTCTCCATGGATGTAAACCATTAATTAACAAATGATTAACGCTCCAAAATATAAGCTTTGCCCTAAAATGAAACGTCAGTGAGCCAAAATACTCTTGAATAAAATAATAAGGGTTAAAGTGGGTCTCTAGCCAAACATTAAAATTTTTTTGCTCTAAAATGAGACGTTGGATGCCAAAGAGCTTAAAAAATAATAGAAACCAAAATAATCATTCTGATAAATGTTATGGGCTAAAATTAAGACACTCAAACTATTGTGTAATTTTTTTTGGCATAATACCAATAATAGTCTCAATGTTTACTAGATTGGTTATTTTGACCCATATATTTTTGGAGCATTTTGCCCCCTAATGTTTTATTTTGAAGGAAAAAGCCCATCAATGGGTAAAAACTATTAGTTAACAAATAGTTAACGTTCCAAAATAAAACCATTTTTTACGTTAAAATGAAACATTAATATTAGAGGGGCAAATGCTCAAAGAAGAAGAATAAAAGTCAACATGGTCATTATAAGAAACAATGTAAGAGGATATTTTTGTTATATTAAGAAGAACAATGTAAGAGGAAGCAAGCCCCACAAAGGAGAAGGGAGACAACCAGGTAGTGGGGGTGTGCAAAATGATTTGATCTGATTGATTCGATTTAAAAATTCATATATTTGTTATTTCTTTTTATTTTTGGATAATTTGAATCGGATATTAATTTTTTTTGGAATAATCAGATCGGATACGAATTAGATAAAATCCAATTTTAGATTATCCAAAAATCCAAAAAATGACATTTAGATTTTAGATACCATTTAGCCCAAAAATGAACCCACTAACCCGTTAAAACTCCAACCCTAAAAATTAAGATACTTAATTATTTATTATATGTGAGTAATTAAATATATATAAAAATATAATAAAGGTATCAAATAAGTTACATTAAATCACAAAATATAAAAGTATTTTTTGTCAAATTAAATTTAATATTAAGATTTGGATATCAAAAAATTAGATATCAGATTTTTTTCGGAAAATAAATCACTATTTTAAGTATTCAAAATTTTTAGATATCTAAATTTTCGGATCGAATCGGATCCGATATCCGACTTCGCACACCGTTACTAGGTAGGGCATGCTATGAGCCGAGCTCCACGTAATAAATAATTCGCTGTCATTATAACTAGGCACCATTTTCTACCCTTTGAAATTAAATTGAAAAACCCGATGAAGTGGGGTTAAATTTGGACAATGTACCATATTCTAGACCATACCCTAAATTCTTATCATAATTTTTCTTCTTTTTAGTCATTCCCCCCTCTAGGAACAAATACGAAGTTGGCAACGTCTAAATATGGCTAGTTTAAAGGTGAAGTTAATTGAATCCGCCACCCTAAAGCCAGGCTCGCCAACTTGGGAAGACAAAACATAAATCCAACACCTAAATTTTGATTTGAATATATTTGATAAAGGGTATGTTATTCTCTTTATGTGATCTAGATTCGATCAGCTTTACATTATCTTATCGTGACACGTCGGTATCACTGTCAAATTTTAACAATTGGTGACCAAAACATAACGTTAGGTATAATTTTTCCATCTCATTTTTTTAAGGTGAATCTTTACATCTTTAGAAATTATTTTAAAATTGATGGATGCAATTCACTGTGACCATAGATGACGTAGTGAACCGGGAATATAAAATAATTTCTCTTGAAGATGAGATGCATGTAAAATCATAAAATAACAATAATAACATTATATTCAATCGTTAGTTTTGTATTATACTCAATAATAACATTATAGCTATCCTATGTCATTTGTAGAAGGAAGGAGAACATGTCTTGGAATATAACTTATATAATACTCTATTTAAATTAATTTATTAATAAATCGGATATCAACAATTAATAAAATGTTTAAAAGAATAAAATAATTAATAAAAAAATGGCCTAACTAGTAGGTTTAAGAGGTTGAAGATGATTGAGGGCAGTTTTCCACTACAAATTGGAGCTCATTTTATTGAAACCATACATAGAGAATTATAGAGAATTGAAGAAATGGATTTGGATTTGTTATGTTTGTTTGTTGCAATCATTGTTGGAGCTTTATGTGTTTTCTCACTCGGAAATCCGAAGCAGCAGCAGAGGCTGAAGCCTCTCCCTCCGGGCGATATGGGATGGCCATTGTTAGGGAACATGTGGTCTTTCGTAAGAGCTTTCAAATCCCAAAACCCAGAATCCTTCATCAGCAATCTCAAACAAAGGTGTTTTATCATCTTTAATCCTTGTTTAAATCAAAGCAACATGATTTACAAATCTTTGTTTAACATTTTCAAAGCAACCCAGGTACGGTGAAACAGGCGTTTACAAGATCAAATTCTTCTGGAAACCATGCATAATAGTTTGCAGTCCAGAGCTATGTAGGAAAGTGTTGACAGACGACGAGCAATTCCAATTGGGTTATCCACTTTCAAATCTAGTTTGCAATGGAACGCCATTAGACTGCATTTCGAGCTCGGTTAATAAGTGGTTCCGCAGGCTAACAGCGGCAACCGGTCTCAATCAACAAGAATCGTTATCGTCGTATATAGGGAGCATCGAAGAGATTGTAATAGGTACATTGGAAGAATGGAGTAAGACGAACAAGCCGATCCTTTTCTTCCCCGAAGTGAATAAGATCGCCTTTAAAGTCATGATGACCATCTTCTTGGGCTCCGGTACCAACGACACTAGTATTGAGTCGATGGAGAAATATTATACAGACGTATTCGGTGGACTGTTTTGCATGCCGATTAACATCCCTGGTTTTGCGTATAATAGAGCGGTCAAGGCAAGGGAGATGCTGATGAAAGGGATTCGAGGTGTGCTCAAAGAAAGGAAACACGATGTCCTGAACTCGAAACGAGGCCTAATTGATTTTATTAGGGAAGCCGATGATCCAAACGGTGAAGAATTGGATGATGAACTCGTTGCTATTATACTACTCCTGTTCTTGATCGCGGGTCGTGAAAGTTCAGGTCGGGTGGCCGCATGGGCTACTGTTTTTCTTCATGATCATCCTCGAGTGTTGCAGAAGGCCAAGGTGAAATGGGATTTTTTTCAATTTTACGAAAATTTTCAACCATGGGAGTTAGCTCATAGTTTTTTTTTAATCTTTATTTAAGGAAGAACAAGAAGAAATCATGAGACGAAGGTCTCCTTCTCAGAAAGGTTTAACTCTCGACGAAATTAAACAAATGAAATATTTATCTAAGGTAAGAATTGAACTTTATATATTCACTCGTCCAATGATTTTAAAAAAAGTGTAACACTAAAAAATCCCAACCGTCTATTTTTATTTATCAAAAAATCCCAAAAAAGTATAATACTAAACATTTTATATTATGTGTACGTGGATTCTAATTCGTTCATATTTAATAGTGAATATTTGTTGGTATTTAGGTGATTGATGAGACGCTCCGAATACGTACCAATGTTTTTGCACTCTTTCGAGAGGCAAAAATTGACACTTATTTGCATGGTTAGTTTCCTTCTCCGGTTCATCATATTTTTTTCAATGGATTCTAATCTATAAAGTTAAAAACATTAACATAAGTGAATCAAATAATTATATTTTGCTGCCTCACGAGATCAAGGAGAAATCTATTTTGCAGGTTATTTCATACCCAAAGGATGGAAGGTGTTGGTCTGGCAAAGTGCAGTTCATATGGACCCTGAAATTTATCCCAACCCTCAACAATTCCTTCCTTCAAGATGGGATGTAAGTAGAATCTTTGAATAAAGATTCTGATTGTTATCTTTTAAAAAAAAACCATGAAATGTTTTCTTCAGGATTTTAAACCCAAAGGAGGGGCTTTCTTGCCCTTTGGAGCAGGAAGTAGAACCTGTATAGGAGCTGATCTTGCCAAACTTGAGATATGCACTTTCCTTCACCATTTTCTCCTTAATTATAAGTGAGTTGCCTTCATTTTTCTCTTTCAATAATTTACCTTCTACATTGCAGTGCTTGATATCAGATTTCATATAACTTCTTTTATAAAGTTTGTAAAAGGTTCAAGAGATGTTTTTTTTTTTTTTTGGGAATATGCAGGCTTGAACAGGTTAATCCAGGAGGCCCTGTTAAGTACTTACCTGCTTCACCAGATCCAGCAGATAACTGTCCTGCCAAAGTCATTAAGATCCCTTGATCATGCTTTAAATTCCACTTTATTTCTTAATTAAACCTTTCATTGTACCAAAGATAATCCATGTAATAATAAAAGATAACCTCATCCAGATATTTAATGGCGGGTGCCTTCCTATGTACAAGACAAATTTAAAATAATTTTTTTAATCCATATATATTTGATATTATTAGGCTTATTGGTACATAAGACTCTCAAACTTTTTTTTTATAAAAAATAATGTTTTTTAATTAACGAAATCAAACGTTGACCTTTATAATGCTGACATGGTGATACACGATATTTATGCAGTAATACACCATAAATAATAATGTGATAGATGAACTTAATTGGTGTTTTAAGAAACCTTGATGACATAGTTGATTTTTATTTTCATTTTCTTTTTAAATTTTTATTTATTTTAAAAGAAAAACTCGTTACTACTCTATGATTTTAGCCCACTCATTAATTATTGGCTCATTTTTATTAGCCCACTCTTCTAATGTTCTGTAACAAATCCTCCCTCATCATCTTTGCTGCAATTTTCTGCCATTCCTTCCTCAAGTTGAAGGTTGGATAGAGAATACAGTCTTGCATATGATTTATATATAGACTCTTTAATGTCGATGTCAGGCTTAGGATGATGATGATTATTTATAAGTTGGCATGATAAATAAATTTAGCTGTCATATAGTAAATCTGATTGAAAAGTCATGTAGGCCTACTAATAGTTATATTGAGAAACTATAACTGGTCGTAGGATATGAAACTCGAGAGGATTCAAAAACCTCCCGATGATATAAATCTGAGCTCATGTAATTGGAACCATACGTAGAGAATTGAAGAATTGGATTTGGATTTGTTATGGTTGATTCTTGCAATCACTGTTGGAGCTTTAAGTGCTTTCTCAATTGGAAATCTGAAGCAGCAACAGAAGATGAACTCTCTTCCTCCAGGCGATATGGGATGGCCATTCAGGGCCGTCTTGTAAATTTTGGTGGTCCTATATTATAACAGTAAAATAGACCTTTTAAAATTAAAATATTAGATATATAAAGAAGTTCATTAATATTTTAAAATTTGGTGGCCCTATGCCATAACAGTAAAATAAGCCTTTGACTTAAAAATTTTTGGACCAAACATCCTAAATATACATATATACAAAAGATTTAAAAAAATTTGGAGGCCCTTTTAAAAATTGGGCCTTGTTCGGTTGGGGCCGCACATGCCCAAAACCGGCCATGTGGCCATTGATTGGGAACATGTGGTCTTTCCCAAGAGCTTTCAAATCCCAAAACCCATAATCCTTCATCAACAATCTCAAACAAAGGTTTTTTTCCTTGTTTAAATTACAGCAACATAAGTTATGAATTTTTTTTAAGATTTTCAAAGCAACCCAGGTATGGTGAAACAGGCATTTACAAGTCCAATTTGCTTAGGAAACCAAGCATCATAGTGTGCAGACACTTATCTCTTAAATAACGTTAAGATTTAATAGGATAAGACACTTGATCCTTTAAACAAAGCTAAAAATTTAAACCTTAACATTAACAGATCAATTGGATTGGAAAAATGAGATTCAAATTTTAAAAACAAATGCTACTTAATATGAATTAATTGATCATTAAAAAGATGAATCAAAACCTTTCGATTTTAGATTTTTTATTCATCTCTTGTCTTGAAATCATTTGTTTTCGTTTAATTTCATTAAATGGCGTACTTATTTTATTGGGTAAACTATGTGTTTATTACCAAAACTATTAGTTTAGTTCGTCTTAATACCTAAGCTTTTAATTTTTTTTTAAAAAAATCATACTTAAAGTTAAGTTTTAGTTTCATTTTAGTATCCCGCCATTAAAAACTTTAGTTTTTATTTCATTTTAGTACTCTGTTCAAAATTTAACATTAAATTTAAAAAAAATGAAAATTTAGATACTAAAACGGACCAAAACTAATAGTTTAGATAATAAACACTCTAACTTATATAATTTCCTACCATAATGCATTAAAAGCATAATCATATGTTACCAAATCCAACAAGATTTACTTTAGGAATCCTTTTTCTAGTGCTTTTGTTTATTCAATGAGAGGGGAACTGTTGTAAATGAGAAACATGCATGAATTGAATATGTATGGATCTAAATATAAGAATAAAATATTAATATATATATTGATAAATTTAATGATTGGATAATAAAATATTTGTAAGAATAAAATAATGAAAAAAAAATTAGGAGATTAGACAAATATTATTTCATTCTTCATCAATCCATTTCTTATAGAGAAGAAAGTTTTGAAAATCCGAAAAACAAAGAGATTGAAAGAGAAAAACCTAAAATATAAAGCATTGGCCCATGTACAACCTAGTTTCCTTGCCATGCTTCAATGGGCAATTGGACATTAGGTGCCATAGGGAGTGGCAAATTGAAGAAAGGCAACCCACCCGGACCGTCTCCGGCACCGGTAAACATGTTATATCCACCGTCATCTCCGTCACCGCCGCCTTGCATATCATCCTCTTCCAAAGGGAGACTCTCATAGGTCACATTCGTAAACGATGATGCTATGAGCATAACCGGTCCAGCCGCCATCAGTTCCCCAACGACAGTTCCCCCTAGAACCTGCCCTTGTCCGCCGGCCAGGAAGATCGTCAAACTGGTGGCGCCCGGAGGAGCCGGCGGCGGCAAAAACGAACCCGAAAGCGACAGTATCTCGAATCTTCCGTGAAGGGTAACAACAGCTCCAGCCGCAGCCGGTTGCCTAATGCTCACATTGGTCACCGTACCACCCCCACTCAATATGCATATCCCCCTCTGCCTCCTCCGGGCGTAGCTCGCAACGCAGTCGAAAACATCGCAGCCGCCCGAAACTTCCAGAATGTGAGCTCGGAGCGTGTTTGCACTCTCCCGAGTTACGATAACCGGCGGCTTCGTCTTGTTCTTGGAACCCAGTGGACGACCCCTCGGCCTACGTGCTATAACAAGGTCATCCGAATTAGCACCGCTGACAAGGTCCTGAACTTGGCCTGAACCACCGTCAGCACCTCCACCGCGGTTGTTTGAAACGACGTGATCTTCGGGTTCGGGCTGGTAATTGTTGTGAAGGTTCGGTCTTTGAAGATGGCGTGGAACGTAGCGGGAAGCTGTGCCTAAATCGAGACACGCCATGCGAGCATCCAAGGGAAACAAATCAACAGTAAAAAAAAAGAAATAAAAATAGCGTTAGAATATAGATAATGCTAAGGAGAAAAGGAGTTTTATTTATTGAAAGAAATTAAAAACAAAGATGAAGAAGACGAGGAGGAGGAGATCGATTGGCGTTCAAAGATAAGCTGAAGAGTGTGAGCTAGGAGATAGGGCTCTAGTGTTTAGTTGTTTTGTTTGGGTAGTTCTGCGTAAAAACGGTTAATATACGGTGTGACCGGTTAAACAAGTGATCGGTTAAAATTTAGACCGATTATGTTATATTATTTAATCGAAAATATTATAAAGTACAATAAAATACTAGGTAGCGCTTATATAATGTAATAGGTAGCGCTTATATTACCTATTTATAACTAAACCGATAATTTATACCGAGCCATTGCAAATTTACCTATTACATTATATTATATTAAAAGTGTTCATACTTTTTATAAAAAGGATCGATACTTCTTTTAAAGTTATGTAATTTATGTTTCAATTTTTTTAATAGTGTTTCATGTTTTCCACCTACAATATTAATTAATTTTATTTACAAAAAATTATTTGATTGTTTTGATATTTATAAATATTATTTATAATTTTTATTTATAATATCGTAACGTAAAAAATAAATCATTAGACGCCTATAATTACTAAATTAATATCTTAAAACTCACTCAAAAGATAACCTTAAATTAATGTTTCCACAGTGAAAAAGTATGGACACTTTTATAAAAGGATAGACACTTACAAACCACTACCTATTACATTATATAAACGATACCTATTACATTATAAGCGCCTACCTATTACATATTTTTACCTATTATATTGAAAGTGTCCATACTTTTTATAAAAAGGATCGATACTTCTTTTAAAGTTATGTAATTTATGTTTCAATTTTTTTTAATAGTTTTCATGTTTTCCACCTACAATATTAATTTAATAATTCATTTGCACAAAAAATTATTTGATTGTTTGATATTTTATAAAATATTATTTAGAATTTTTAATTTAATAATAATATATATCGTAACGTAAAAAATAAATCATTAGACGCCTATAATTACTAAATTAATATCTTAAACTCACTCAAAGGATAACCTTAAGAACACTTGAAGAAGCAAGATAACAACTATCCAAGCAATCAAAAACGAGAAAATCCCAACATGATAACAACTGAACATATCATATCAATGTTCAAACTCAAGTTGTAGATTTTGATTTCCTTTTGCTTGGCATCATATGAGATTTGGATTTGGATTTCCTTTTGCTTGGCACCATATGAGCTTTGGATTTTGATGAGCATCGGTAGTATTTCGGACTTATGATTTGGGTGGTACTCAACTTTATTTAGTTGCTATTTGTTACATTTCTTGTATACCACCCAGATCATACGCCCGAAACGTTTCTGACGCTTTAAAGTTGACCAAAAAATACAATGGTCGGGATTTCCCTCGCGTTTAAACGTTGGAAAAAAAACAATGGAAATTAGGAATAACCAATGATAATATGCATATTGGCTTGGGCTAATATTTATAGTGGAGCCGAAATATATATTGAAATTCAAACTCAAATTGAAATTTAAATTCAAACTCCAATTACATATGAAATGAATTTGAAATGCAGTGTTAAATTGAACATGAAAATTGCATAATTGATTCATACTGTTCAAGTAACATGCTTTATGAACCATCAAGCTAAAAGACAATATTGATTGAGTTTAAAGCTGAGTTGTGGGTTGATGGAGTTGTCACACTTGTCACATGGTTGGAATAAAGTACTCACATGCGAGATAGATTGTTTTGTTATACATAATCCATCTCAACTGAATGAAAATATACATACAATATAATCAAACCAAAACATACATACACAACAAATTTATATATAACAATGTTCAAATAATGTACCCACAAAAACGAAAATTAATCCAATGAAAAAGAGTTATTTCTAACAAAGTCCGGAACATTATTTTTCCAAATAATGTACCCATAACAATGTTCAATTAATGTACCCACAACAATGTTTAATTGATTTGTTGTTTAATTTTCAATTTGAATTATTTGATTTAATAATTTCATTTGCACAAAAAATTATTTGATTGTTTTGATATTTTATAAAATAATATTTAGAATTTTTAATTTAATAATAATATATATCGTAACGTAAAAAATAAAATCATTAGACGCCTATAATTACTAAATTAATATCTTAAAACTCACTCAAAAGATGTATATACCTAAATATATAGTTAACAAACATACCTAAATATGTAGTTATTGTACATACCTAAATTTAATGATAATATACTTGTAGTTATTGTACATACCTAAATATGTACTGCGAATTTAATGTTGTACCCACCCTTTAACTACCACTACCAATGCCACATCCTATTGAAAGCAGCACGACTGAAACATGTTCAAAATGAACCTTTGCTTACATCTCCATCAACTCCTGGAGCACTGAACTTGCGCAACAAAATTTTTGCCATGGATAATACTGATGTAGACAATGTTAAGCCAACCGAGGAATGCCATGAAGTACATAATGTTGATGAATCTGACAGATTGGTTGGTCAGCTCTTCTGTTCACGTGATCAAGCTTGGCACTCTTACAAGGGATTCGCACGGGAACATGGGTTTAGTGCACGTAAGGGAACAACACGACTTGACGTGGAAGGGAATGTGAAGACACAAGAATTTTGTTGTTCCAAAGAAGGGTTTCGAGTATCAAGAATCAATACTGTTGATCGTCAACGTGCTCATACGCCAGTCACAAGAATAGGATGTAAGGCTAGAGTCGTAGTTACAGCAACAAATACAAACGATCAGTGGGTTATAAGTAAGTCTGATCAGAAACATAATCATGCATTGTGCACACCTGCTATGACACCATTTATACGTTCTAATAGAGCTGTAAATAAGGCTGATATCGATGAGGCAACAACATTGAAAGAGGTCGGTGTTGGCACGTCACAAGTAATGAACTATTTAACACAGCAGGCAGGGGGCTATCATAATGTTGGATTTACACATAAAGACCTCTACAATGCACTTCAAAGAGGTAAAGCAAAGGAAATCGTCGATGGGGATGTGAATGCGCTTATTGCCTACTTTGATCATAAGAAACATGATGATCCCGGGTTTTTTATGAAATACTCGGTAGACGAATCGGGGGCATTGTATAATCTTATTTGGTCGGATTCTACATCGAGATCGGATTACACATGCTTCGGTGATGTAATTGCGTTCGACACAACGTACAAAGATAATTTGTATGGTCGACCAATTATGCCTATTGTTGGTGTCAATCATCACCATAACACAATTGTGTTTGCCACTGCCATAATCGCTGACGAGACGTCTCAATCTTTCGAGTGGGTGCTACAGAATTTTTTAGAAGCCATGATGAATAAATCACCTATTTCCGTTGTAACCGATGGGGATAGGGCAATGCATAGGGCTATCAAATCTGTTATCCCTTATGCTAAGCACAGATTATGTTCTTGGCATCTTTCTCGCAATGCACAAGCTAACATTGGTGACCCAAAGTTTACAGCAGCATTCTCAAAATGCATGGCTTCCTGGTGGACAACCAAGGAATTGATATTCAATGGCGTTCGGTTGTTTCAGAATTCAACGTCCAAAAGCCATGGGTGATTGAGAAGGGAAATACACAACACTTATGGGCACAAGCATATCTAACCGGTCATTTCTTTGCCAATATTCGCTCAACACAAAGGTGCGAGTCTATGAATGCTTCACTAGCTATTGCACTGAAACACAAGAAGACATATTTAGATGTTGTTCGTGCAATTGAAGATGGAATTAGTAGAATGCGTATGAACGAGTTGAAAGCGGATTACTTAAGTTCCCATACGAAGCCCTTCCAGATCACAAAACTGGTCGACCTTGAAAGCCATGCCGCTGCGATTTTTACCCGCGAATCTTTTCGTGTGTTCCAAGATGAACTTATACGGGAGACATTGTACCGGATTGAGGCAGAGATTAAGTCCTTATCAGATGAATGTCAACATTATATTTTGTCAAAGTACGCAGAAAAAAATAGGAAATTTGAAATTAGTTTTGATTCTCGTACGAAAACTCTAATTTGCTCCTGCAAAAAATTCGAGACCGTTGGACTTCCGTGTCGCCATCAACTTCACATTTTGAAGCAATTGGACTACACATATTTGCCCGGGACTTTGATTCAAAGTAGGTGGACTAATGATGCGAAGGCTTCTGCACCCAACTATGTTGATTTGAATGTGTCTCCAGAAGTGATGCAAATGGCAAGGTTCGCTGCTCTACGTTCAACGTCAAGTAGGTTATGCTACATTGCATCAAAGACAGACGAGTCTTTCAAAACCGCAAGAGATGAGATGAAAAAACTAATAGAAGAATTAGAAAACTTGTTTGGTTTGAATCATTCAGTCAACCAGAGCATTGTAGTAAACAATGTTCGTGACCCTCAACGAAAACAACGCAAGCGAAAAGAAGTGCCGAAGAACAAGGTCGAGAAGAAAATTAGGCGATGTGGGTATTGCAACGGTGAGGGACATAACAAACTAACATGTCCTCAAGTCAAGCTCAGTTTGAGTACAACACAGCCTACATCAACTGATTTTTTCGAAGACGGAATGGAATGACAACGATCTCCATATAATATATCGTAAGTATCAACATGACTCCTATTGTATGTACATAAATATTTTGAATGAAGGAAAAAACCGCGTTACTTAAAATTACCGACACTTTTTTAAATGGTATCGACACATTTTTCTTCCAATCTGAACATAAAGTACCGACACAATATTAGAAAGTGTAGATATAGGTTGTAGACCTATTCGCTCATAAAACCGGTATATTTATACCGGTTATATTACAAAATTATCTATTACATTATAAATATGGGTTCCGATGTGTAAATGTCGACACTTTTTTAAATGGTATCGACACAATTTTCTTCCAATCTGGACATAAAGTACCGACACAATATTAGAAAGTGTCGATATAGGTTGTAGACCTATTCGCTCATAAAACCGGTATATTTATACCGGTTATATTACAAATTATCTATTACA